CTTGGACTGTTGTCGGTGGTAGTGACTGACGTTTCGACAACCTGTGCGGAAGTCATCATCAGAGTCAAGTGAATGATTGTTGTCAGTAGAATGTTCTTATTCCAGACTGGACTACAGTCACCCGGACGATCAGACTACACCTTCACATGTTACCCCCGGGTTCAAACCATTTACTGCAGTATTAATCTACTATTAAAGGTGATTTCCACTCCATGATAAGCAATATCTGCTTGCAATGTTTCAGTCTTCCGTCAAATGTATAGGTACTATCCAAAATAAAAATTTCAGAGTAAACTTTTTTTCTACGTTATAAATGTCGCACATTCTTGTGAAACAGCACTGAAACTACAAAAAACTTAACATTGTTCCAAAGCACAATAATGCTTATTAATTTGTGAACATAACAAGCCACCGGTAAATCAAGGGCAAACTCTAAGACTGCATGTGTTACAAGTGTAACCTATCAGTCAATGCAAAAAAATATCATCAAACTCCAAGAAGGGGGAGTACCCGCTGGAAATAAGCATTTATGGACAATTTTTAAATTATTTTTAAATAATTTTTTAAATATAGACTAGTGAGCAGCGTAGTTGTAGTTGTAAAACTGTTTTTATTTTCCGACGCGTTTCGTCTAACCATCGTAGACTTCTTCAGGGAGTTACGAGTATAACTAAACGCCTGTATTTATAAGCCAAAGCTACGGGGGCCGATGACCATAGAGGCTTGGCATTACACGTTTTAAATTTTTACAACTTCGCTTGTTCCTGTTCGTAAGTCCTGCCAAGCCTCGAGATACTATATTTTTATTTGGAGTGAAAATCGTGTTGATGTCATAGGCACTTTAACATTATATAGAATCAAGGTTTTTTGTTCTAGAATGAATTGGATTTCTCTGGTCATATTGCTTTTTGTTAGACAAATAGAGACGATTTTCTCGTTGAAAATTGACGCTCTGAGAGCGTTTACTCGGACTTAGTATCGCAATATCACCCGTGTGTTATGGGGAGAAGGCGGCTGACATTCAGACTACATTCTTGGTGAAAAAGCGTTCACCTATCATGGAGATCTAGCCTAGTAAGATGTATAAATCGCGCGTCACCCGCTTATAAAATAGCAAATCACGCATCAGGTTGTGATGTCCGGTCCCCCGTCACGCAGATAATTTGGGTTCAATCACGCATCACGCTGCAAATTTTGGGTCCATCACAAGTCGCGCAAAAACCCTTTGCCACCCTCATAGAAAATGTGGTCTATTGCTTTTGTAAAGAAAACTTGAATGTTTCTTTTTCCTATGGGTCTACCGGTGCAATAAACGCAAGTAGGATCTCAGTTAAAGTTCAACCCCCTGACACTTTCTTTCTTTCGGTCTTTGCGATCAATCAGCCCTTTTGTTGATTTTAATTAAAGATTGATAAAGTCACGTAGCAGCTGCAAGTGCGTGGCGCCGGATAAATCCGCTCACACCATCTCAGATTTGTCAGCATGGTCACCTGTTGTTGACAATTCCACTTTCACTCTTTGTTTCTGTTGTTTTGATTTTGTTTTCCATACAGTCCACGAACCTCGTTTCCTCCTGAAGCAACACATTACGAGCAGACACAAAGCGACTAATACAATGCAGCTTAATATAACTATGAGAATTGTGATAAATCCCATTTTCTCTTCTGCTTTTGTTTCCTTCACTATAATATCGTTTTTTACCGTTGTTTCAAGAGTGAATATAAGATATCCAGCTGTGTTGTTTTTGGCTGATGTTGGTCGCGCCATCACTTTGACCTCTATGGTGTTTTGCTCCATGGTTGTAGAGGACTCCATCGTCAGATCTGCCAAAATGCTCTCGTTAGGTTTTAGAACGACTTCATCTGGACTCACATGGCAGGTAAGAGAACCTGGACATGACACCTAACACGAATGCATATGAAACACGTAAGTTATATCTACTCTACAGATGAAACTGGAATTCAAAGTGGGAAAAACTGGGAAAGAGGGAATGTTTATTTGTTAATGGACCTGTCATTCTGGTAATTGAAATAACCCAGATGCTGTCCCATTCCCATCAGGCCCGGTGCAAAATAAACGTATGAACGTGCTGGTGCATTTCGTGAGTATTGGGCAGGAGTGACGTTTTCAAAATTTCGAGACTTCTCTATCCTACAAAAGAGGCATTCTGCGTTTCAGGATATTCCGTTATTCTGCGTCATAAGATATTCCGCTATACCGCCATTCCGCCAACCCACAGTTCTTCCATTCCATCATTTTATTGAATAACTCAAGGGCTTGCTCGTTTCGCAAATTTAGCGGCCTTTTTTAGCATAAACGGTAAAATGCTCCCTCAAAGAAAAATTTTTCCCTTAAGTTTAATGATGCACCGATCACACCTATTAAGATGTTTCTGCAATGAAAACTTATTAGTTTTAAATCGCGCGGAATTCCGAAATGAATGTTAGATGTTTATCACTTTCTGCTGTCTAAAGTAGTTTCACGATAAGACCTGAAAACATGATTTGCTAGTGGCTGTAAGCCAGAGATCACAAAAGGAGAGAACTCAATTGTGTATCAAGTGCAAATGTCGAACTACTAAGATACTCCGAAAAATAATAAGTAGTACCGGAAATCATCGCGTCAAAAAATGGGCGAAGATCGGAATTCTAAAGTTACATTCACTCACTCACTCATCTCAACAACACATGTAGCTTCTCAGTAGAGGAGACAGAAACCACAAAAATATGTGAGATAAATGTACCAAATTGTGGTACATTTTGTGTATATGTGATAATGATAATGAACTTAACCTGTTATTCCTTCCATCCAGGGTGTTACGGAGCCCATCAAGAAAATTTTGAATAGCCACAACGTTAAGTTGCTCAAAAACCTTTTCAGACTTTGGGGCATATTTTTTCCAAACCTAAGGATCCTGTTGCGAAAGAACAACGAACCGACGCTATTTATACTATTCCGTGCAATGACTGTCATCACGAATATATCGGACATGTTTGAAACAACATCAGAAACGATCTGCTGGGTCAATAACTTGTAATTTTCCCGGTTACATTGATTAAATCTTTAAACCAGAGTAGCATCAAACCCTGTCTGAACTTGACCTTCATTAATGAACAAATATTTAGTAAGCTTGATACAGGGATGGAGATATTTGGTAGCTTACTAACCTTTAAAGTGAATTGTTGTTGTCGGCCGACGTTAATGATAGTAAAAATTACGCTGACTATGGCTCCTTTGCCCATCACCACCTCACCACTCGGCACCAGGCTCCTGAGTGCAGGAATGACTTGAACTTTTTTACTGAAAAGTTTTATCCTCTTGCTACTCCAATTTGGTAGTGCACTAACCTCTATATCCTCCTCTGAGGGGCGATTTTGTTTTGTGGTCATGATGAGCTTTAATACCTTTGTCTCATTGTTGCTTAGGTTGACTGGATTTGGTACAAACCACAATTGGACGTTATTGGAGCGAGAAGCCTAAAACACAATGGTACAAAATGTGTAAAGGGCCATAATTCAACTTTCAAATTTTTGATCGGCGAAATGAAATGGCATCATAAGAGGGTGCATTTTGTTTTCCAAATAGTTTAAGTGCCTTAGGCTGACTTACGTTGCAATTGCACTGTGAAGCTTATACATACTTTTATATATAGCTAATAGAAAGGCAAAATAAGATAATTCTAAAAATAATATTTTGTGGAGTGGCGATTAACTTCGTTAGCCTCATGAAATAGGCTTAAAAAGAAAAAACAGGCATAGTTAAGTGATATCTAGAGACAAATGAGCCGCAGGCAGACGGATCATGATTGAAGTGAGCACTGGGTAAAACTTACCATTTATCGGATACTCGGGCGTTGATCAACAGGTCGAACTACTTGAAACTCATTTTGTTAGAAGCATGCAACTAAGGTGATAAATTCTGTACTCGGGATTTCATTGATCTAACTACTCACAGTTAAATTGAATGTTCCAGCTTGGCCATGATTTTTAACTTGAAACAAGAGCTCTTCTTCATCCTCATAGTGGATTATAAGGTAGGGAATATGATCCAAATCAGCTGTAACATTCCATCTAAGAGATATTTTTGGTGTTTGTGCTTTAACAATTACGTCCATCTCCAGTAAACGTATGTCTGTAGCGTTGATATCAGCCGCAAGAGGTATAGCGTCCACTACAAGGTTTGTCTTCCTAGACCCAGTCTTTTTGCTTCCTATGAGGACAACTTTACATCGCACAACTTCCTTATGATCCATATTAATGTTAATCGGAGTGACGTAACCAATACAATACTCACTATTCGATACTTGCAAAGAGAATGAGTTTTTGGTTCCTAAATTTGTAATGTTAAATTCAAATTTAGATTTGATTCCAACGAGGACGTTCAGTTCGGTGAATTTGATGTTGGGTTTGATGTTTATGATTGGTGTCACTGCGCTTAATACACAGACAGCTGTGTTACCGTTCTGGTCTACCGCGAATATGCTTGCTGTAGGATGGCAACATGTCGATGTATAGACACCTGACACTGATGTGTTGAACATTCCCTTCTCAAAGGGACCAACTGTTATTAAAATAAAAAAGACAGATTTAATTATGAAAAAGGGATTCTTTCCATGATATGTTAAGTGACTAATTTAATGTGACTGTGATTCTGAATTGAAACAAACGAGCAAAAATGCTTTTTTCACAAGGCCAACCGTGCAACCCAAAAAATCACCAAATTTTTCCGACTTCATGTTTGTGTCGGTCGTGATTACCAGACATCGCCCATGAGATCAGACCTTAGGTAGAGTTTCACCAAGCGTAAGAGTTGAGTTTTGACACTTGTATTTAAAAATACAGCATTAAACTCTTAAGATCGTATTTCTTAGTTTGAATAATATTTTAACACTCATCCGGGGGTAATTGAATAAGGTAGACCGAGCAAACGTATTATACTCACTGCCGGAATAATCGTCATGCAATTTCACTCGACGTCTGTTGTCGCGAGACAGAGAGATTCTTCTCCTCAGAACCAGACATTTAATATGTTATAATTATCCCGCGCCCTCTTCTTCTTGAATTCTCCGCCATTCAAATTTTATATAGAGCTTACAATATCAGCAAATGTTTAGGGTTACTTAACTAATGAAAGTACTGGATACTCTTCTCTTAGAACTTCAGTTCTACTAATTACGAACAGGCTGTCTTCAGGTAAAACACAAAACGCGTTAAACTTATATTTACCATCCAGTCGTCCAAGCTCAGGATACTTAGAAGTAACTGTTAGTAGTTCTTTTCCGGGGCTAAATACATTAAAAGATGAATTCCACGTGATTATTGAACAATTAGAAAGATGGTACACGGAATCACATGTGGCTATTTGACTGCCGGCGACTTCGCATTTTGGTTGGAAAATGTTTTCCTACAAAGAAAGCAGAGCAAGAAAAGTTCGGTCAGGTATCAAATGTTGCAAAAGACGGAATCCGAGTGAAGTTCATGGTCAAGGAATGCTATTATTAATGCGTTTTCAATAACTCTTTGCGTATGAACCACGAGCGCAATCAAAGCCTAAAATGTGAACAAGCCGGTAATTTTCATCTGACTTGTGCTCGACTAGTCAATACTCACGATCTCTTTAACATTGACGTAAAACACCATGTAGTTGGATGGGCTATCGCTTGACGCCGATAATGCGTATACAGTAACTGTAGTTGTCTCTCCCGTGGTAGCATCAGCTGGCGCCTTCAATATTAGTGAAAACTCAGCGGTATCGTTCTCAGCGACAAAGCAGTCACGAGGTTCTACTGTCTGAGTAAATCCCAAGTCGTCCATTGCTTTCAGGGTAAAATTTTCTGAGTTTCCCAGATTTATTATTTTTAATGGTATTTTGGTGGTAACGCCAGGATTAATTCTTGTTGAGCTGTTTAATGTTCGATAGTTAAAGTCCATTCTCACTGCTTCTATTTTGATTTCGGTAGGTTTTATTCTTCGTAATGAAAAACCTTCCATTGTCTTTCCAATCAGCTGAAAGCGAAATCGTTTAAAGGAAGGAGTAAAAAGGACATGAAGTGAATCGCTATGGATTTCTTGTCCTTTTTTTATTGTAAACGACTCCATTACTGTGCCAGTTGAGTTTATGAGTGACAATAAATTAACTTCTTCGATCAGTTCTGGTTTGGTGAAAGCCAAGGTTAGTAGCAACGTTTGTCCTGTGAAACCAGAATAAATGTCATTAGTGCTTGCCATTTGAGCTCGAGTCTTTTTACCGTTCTCCATAAAGTTGCTCTTTCTCTGGATACACTGTTTTGACTTGGGATAACTTGCAGTAGGCTATAAGAATGAGAAATAGGCAAGCAAAAGCTGATGCCGGTTCATGTTGACCTTCGAATGTCTGTCACGTTACCATCTGGTTATGCTTTTATGACATTGATACATCAAAGGGAAGGTATCTTAAGATTCTCTTAAATGATGAAGTTAGAAAAGAAAACCAAATGTGAAATGCATTATGGGGAAGAGGTTCCTCAAATAATCGTAATTAAAAAAACTGGTTCTATAGCAGCTTATCTCGTTTCAGGAGAGAATATCTAGTTACCTTTAACTGGGCTTCCCAAAAGTTGTTTCCTCTCCCCTCTCTCCAGATTTTCAATGGACGACAGCTGGTAGGTAAAGTCCAAAACACTCCGTCCAGTAACCTGCAGACTATAGGGTCCAGTGCATCGCACACGAATCATTAGTTGACCACCCTGGAAGTTTGTGACTTCAGTCACATGAATATGATCAAACTGACTGTATATGGCAGTTTGCAAGGGCTTGTCGTCTGAAAAGAGCAAATGAACAGTCGAACAATGGTACTGACAATGATATTCAAATTAGGGAATTAATTGTGGTAGATATTTGCCGAACCGCGAATCGTTGAGGTAAATATCTACTACTTTCACCGACACTTACTTTTAGATGAAGAGTAAGACAGTTTCAAACGAAACATCATTATCAAAATAATTGACAACTTTGAAGTCAAGGATATAAACAAGCATAGCGCTGATCAAGTGACCAATCCTTACGCATTACCATGTAACTCTAATTTTTACCAGTTGGATTAAACAGTGTAATTCCAGGATCGCCTTCTGCAGAAAGCACTATTAGTACATCTTCAAGGGTATTATCCACGTCAATCATAAAGGGCGTATCTTTCTCGTCTTGCTTAGATTCGCTGCTCACGCATAGCAGAATAACCTGAAAAATGTGTATCAGTGAATTACGTAACTTGCTTAAATATTTTAATTTCGTTGTGAAACAAGATCCTTAGGACGACATGAAAGCAAGGAAAGAACAACAAAACGTTGATACAAAAGAATAAGCCATTGCTGTTTGGTTACCTCTGCTAGATCACTGTTTTCAGTAGCGTAACTTTTTGAGCCAATGATGTCCACAAGAACGGAAACCTTATTCTTTTTTGTCTTTAAAACCTGGCCTCCAGTAGCTGCAGCCAAACCACGGAACAGATCTTGTGATCCTAGCCTTGGTTCCTCCCTTGTTGATCTACGCCATCGACTGAATCTGCAACGCCCACTCAATATGAAGTTAATTTTCACTCTCTTTTGTTTTGCTAATATAAGAACTACCTGAGCCAGTTCAAAGTCTTTCACGTCTGCGTCAGAGAAGTAATGGATGACCGAGTCTTGAACGCTTTGAAGAAGCGCTTTATACAATCCAGTCATTCCTTGTTCTGGACAGTCACCTCCTTTGTTGGCTTCGAGAGAGTCGACGGCTTGAATGACTTCATTTGCGTCACTTGTGGCCGTCACTGGGCCCACACCTGTGAAAATAACGAACAAGACTCGCTGCATCTCAACCAACACCTTAGATTGTGTAGCCCTACCTATTATGTGATTCATACATTTTCCAAAACGCCACCCTTGGATTTTTTTTGTTGTTGCCACCAAAGTCTCCAGCCAGGAGTGCTCTCTCAAACATGCCTTAAAATGTTGTAGAACGCCTAACAGGGTATGATCACTGTAACTCTTAGTTATGCCGGTTACGGTTGCTCGGCAAGCCAATTCAAATTTTCAGCCATCGTTATCTCTAGTCTAGGAATCATTCTGTAAGAATATCCAGTTTAACTGCAGTGCTTTTACTTACGTGGATCGTTGAATGGTACAAGAATGTACATAAAAGCTGTGTTGCCCACAAGATTCTTTGTCTCCTTTACAAAATTTTTGGATAACTTTTTCACAGACTTGATTTCCTCTGCAAGGAACGATATTGAAAGGAATTATTAGCTGTTGATGTTGAGTCAAGCAACTTCCACTTTCTCTCTTGGCTGTAGATGAAACTAATTTCCCCTCCGGAGTTTGAGTCTTTCTTGTAAACCAAAGTGATTTTTTTTGCTAATGTATTTTTCTTTTCTGTTTCATTTTTTTTAATGTGTAATTTACTAGTCTCTCGACCTGAAAAACTGAGCTTAGCAACCCAGTGAGCCTGTTTCCGAACAACTGGGACGATACTACCACGCCCCGTAGATGGGAATCTGCTCGTCTGAAAACCTCCCTGCCTGTTGTTCCCATGTATATGTGATAGGTGATATGTGATATGTAGACTTTATTTCAAGAGGGTAGCACGTGACAGTAGTTAAACTGATGATCCTGTGGCCCTCTACATATGTACCCACCCATCCCAGCCCAGGCGAGGACATCCATCACACAGTAATCTCGTGCGTGGGAAATTAACGTCTCCTACCCCTAACCCTGCAGGAGACGGGACCTCCATTTATTCGTCCCTATCCGAGAAGACTAGAATATCTAACCATTTCTTGATGTTATAGAGAGGCAGCATATTCTTCTTAATTATTCTTCTCAATTATACTCCTACATCAGTGAGCAGAGGCATCGTGAAAGCAAAGTGTCCCGGGCTTGAACTCGGACTTGTGGGTCCGGAGCTCAGCCTGAGCCATTTACTCATGACCCATTTACAGTCATACCGTATACAGGGTAGGAAGGACGAGAGGCCTGGCACAGGTGACCCACAAGTGCCTTGCGGTCACTCACTCAGTTTTCTCTCGGTTTTCTCACGCCAAAACGCTCGGTTGCGCTCTTATGTAGGCTCCCATCAGGTTTGGATTCCTATTAATTTTAACTTTAACACTTGTAGAGCTACAAAGAACTGATTCATTGGCCCTACCTCCCATACTTCCAGTATCATCTATAACAAGCGCTAATGTCCTTACGGCTTGCAAATTTAGAAAACGAGCAAAGATTTTATCGCCCACAGTAGCACGAAGATTTTCAAAAAACTGTTTAGTGGCTTCTACAGCGTATTCAGCGGCCACTTCATGGAGTCTGAGGAAAAATAAATGATTTTGGAGCACAATAATTAGTTCATGAGAAGAATTTTAATCGACCTCACAAATGATAAAGTGAAATCCATTCGCGTTCATTACAATATTGGTTTTCTTCAATCCAGGGTGATGTTAAGATTGAAGAGGAATTCATTTAGCACCGTTGGATTGGCTTATTTGTAGCATAATTGACCTTTTAAGCTGTCTTGTTTTTTGATAAAACAGCGATTATTCAAACTAAACCGTCAGGTTGTCTAGAATATAAATGTTATGGGATTTCCATGAGAAAGACAGATAGGCCCCAATGTTGATATTATTTGTTGCTTACAACCGTCTCCTTTTGTTGTTTATTGAAAATGTTGTAAGCCTGATGTCGGTGAAAAGACAGGATCGATTAAAAAAAGAAAAAAAAGAAAACAAATTAAACAATCTTTCGTCTGTCGGAGTTATACTGAGTGTTGAAATATTCTGCAGTGTGAGTTTCTTACGAAGCGAATTTTTCAGCAAACGTCTTTCTAGTCAATTGCTGTTTGATGTTGTAAGATCTTTTAAAACTCGGATATCTCTTTTTCGTTTAGTTTGACGCCGTGCAGAGATGTTTGTTCATTTCGTTGATGACCAAAATTTACCGCGAAATTTACAAATTCATCCAATACAAGCTAATTTTCGCAGCTGGTATTAAAGTCAAGACTTGTATTTGAGCTGAAATCCAAGAGAACACTCGAAAGATTTCAACAAACAGTTTCGTTAATTTGTCTCACCAAACCTAGAAAATTTGACAAAGTAGTTTTAAAACTAATGCTATCGATCTATCGATGTGGTTCATTTGAACCCCATCGTTATTGTAAACTGTAAACTAAGTTCAAATGTAAATACAGCGAAACCTATTATAGAGGCATTTTGTCCGCGACTGCCCATTAGAAATTTAACTTTGAAGCTTTAAGAATTTCCTTTTGCGGACAGGACCGATACGTTGATTTCTTACGAAAATTTTTTTATACAATTCTAACCTTTTAAAAGTGAAAAAAACATGCTGTCTTTGGGTTTAATGGGTAGAAATATTGTCACAATGCGAAAATGAACTCAATATCAATATGCCCATATGCCAAGAAGAGCTTTCGCTGACACCTTTTGGTTGGTTTCGAATAAGGTTTTCTTTCTTCAGGGGAAAAGGAAAAAAACCTTAAAGAAAAAAGAAATGCGACAAGCTATTTTAATATTCGCAGATGCGGGATGTTCGTTTTAAATTATTCATATGTTCTTCGTTTGAATTCAATTTTCATTCAATGCTTAGGAGATGATTGCTGACCAAAGGCTAATTTTATGATTCTTAAATGCTTTAGATTTTAGCCCATTGGCTTTCTGTTTGTAAATAAGTCATAATGCAAAATTGCATTTAAGATAAGTTCCCTAAATCTGGATCAAGTGAGTTATGTTTGTGGAAGGAAAATACGGATTTGTGCATTCATTGTATAATTGTGCGCTTCTCATTTAATTTACGCTAAAATGATAGGTAAACAAAAATTCATATACTCTTTTTAGAAAATAGCAGCACTCCTTTCTCTTACTTGTGGTGAGGCGACAACTTTCTTGACGCAGACTCTTTATTTATTCCTCCCGTCAGTGTTCCTTTTTCGCGGCTACTGTCTACAAGACCGCCGTGGCTGCATTTGCTGACGTTTGTCGGTCTTGAAATGTCTTGACCTTCGTAGTATCCACTCGTTATTTTCTCAGTTATTAAGTTGTTATCGCAATTATTTTCCTGACCTGCAGTCGACTGACAAGGAACACAAGTTGCTTCGTTTGATTTCGCAATGAGTTGAGATGAAAATAGATCTGCTAGATTTGATGAAAAGTAAAATTTCCCCTCTGAATCTCCAAGTTCAACCCAGTTTGAGTGGCTGTAAAAGTCTTGTAATGTGTGTAAATATTGACCTACAAGTTAACGAGCGTGTTCAAATTTCACACTCTTCAATAGAGTCGTGATTATTTCAGAATTCAACTCAAAGAGACGCTTTGCGCCGTCTTTGAACTGCTCTCCGCTGAAGTGAGCAGAAGCCACCATCTTCAGGGGCGATGAGTTTACTTCCGCATTTGAGCTTTGTATCTCGGTTAAAGCGTTTTGTAGGCGCATCTTGGGAACCATTACACTGGTCAGTCTTAAGACTGTCTCTGGGTCATCTGCGGTGACGGTAATCCTTTGTAGATCTTTAAAGTTTTCAACCATCTCTTGGTGAACATTCTGTGGATTATCTTTAACGAATTCGACTAAACATCGTAACAGTCCAATTTTTGTAATGAGAGCATGGTCTCGAGTCTGAACGGCACTGTCACTATCTAGCTCCAGTGTTGCAGACGAGAAGAACGCCTCTGAGATAGGGAAAAAGGTCAACAAAACCACAAGAGCACGAACAAGCGCCATGTATCATGAGAAGTCTTTGTGTGCAGTTGCGAGATAATGGCGTCGGTGAGCGAACGCAGCTGGTTTAGACTTGATGGAATTAAAAGTTTACTTTGTCAGGCAGCATGCGCTTGTATTGTTTATTGTTAACAAGTAATTTCTTTCACCAAAACGCTAAAGGAAGCTTGAATATTTATGAACCTCGCTGTTTTGCGTTTTTAGTGCGAATCTATGAATAAGTAATCTAAGGAGCTGTTTTGAAATAGTGACTAAAACATGGGTCATCTTTAATAAAAATCAAATAGAGGATTTTTTGATATGTTTTTTTTTTTTCCCGTGGTACTATTGCAAAAAATTTGAAATTCTCATATGTCGACTAATCCTTTCTTTCTTTGCCTATTTTATTTTATCTCTTGGTCGTTTGAAAACCGACCTTCTTAAATTATACACTTCCCTTAATTTAAAACTTTTATAAACATTAAAAATTTGATTTCCGTGTAAGTTTTCTTGTTCCGTTGTTTATCAGTTTGTATCAACGTCAACCTGAATCAAGCGAATCATTTAAGTCACCTGATCTGCATTTTTTCGGTTCATGTACCAACAGTGGTAGGCCTTTATAATAGCACCTTGTTTACTGTGGCATTTATCTTAGTTACTTTTAGTAGGTGCATCTTTTTTTTTTCTTCATAAAGATGTAGAATCCACAAGCTGAATCTGCTTTATTTTTCACTTATTATTCTGTAGAGTTGTTATCGCATAGTGTAATCGGATAGTTGGCTGCAATTGGATACCTGTTATCGAACTGTTTAAGCAGCCAATCATATTTAGTCCACTCAGCTAAATCAGTCCACCAACCACAGAATTGATCACAATGACCATAGCAACAACCACTTACCCTACAAAACTGGGGAATTTCCAAATGGAGGAATTGTTACTTCGATGTCTCTACAGGAGATATTTCCTCAAATAAATGTAGTTTTTTTTTTTCGCAAATTGTAATGGTTATCATTGATTGGTAACAGGACTTTGTTACGTCCAATTCGGTATGATACTCGTGATTAAAAAATCAAACTCTCGCTTCGCGGTCGTCCGATTTTATAATCATTGGTATCATTACAGAGCCGAATTGGACTCCACGCTGTCCTATTACTCATTACGGTCGAACCTGTATTAAGCAGCACCACATTAAGTTGTTACCCTGTATAAGTTGTAGGTTGTCAAAAGCCCGATTTTTCAACCTCTATTAAGCGGTCGCGGTCACCCTTGACTGAGTTTCAACGGCCATTTTCTTCTGTCACTTTAGTGGAACCACTCGAGTAATACTAAGAGTAACCTTTCTGGTAAAATCTACCTGATCCATGCTTATTTCCCGAAATCAAAGTAAGTGGTATTTTTGAGTGAATTTTTGTATATGCAGGGGTCAATTCATGGGATAAAATGGCCTTTTTTATCGTTTTATAGAACTGCTTTTTTATAAAACCTGTATTTAGCGATCAACCTATATAAATCGGTCATTTAGCCATTGTATTGTGGATAACCGCTTGATACATGTCCGACGAATATCAACTGCAGTTCATGTCCTCTTGTTCGACTGTATTAATCAAATCAAACGCTAACCAACGAGTCCAGCTCTTCACGAAGAGATGGTCACTTGGTCGAACCTGGAGTGGTACAAAGTATCGATTATGTACTACTCATTTCTCATTCCAGACAAGTTTGCAAAGATAGCGGTTTTTAAAAGTTGTCGATTTTTGATGCACTGACCGCTGAATATCTCCACCCTCGAATTACACCACTGATTTTTTAACTTTGGCTGGGAAATCTCCGCTTTTCTGATAATCTTCAAAAAGATGACACTAGCTGTTTCCTTGTCTGTGTTCATTTTTCTTCAGCTTACTGGTTACAAAGAGAGGCGTTCACTTTTCAAATTTTTATTGCCCTTGAAGAATGTTTTAACAGATACATTGTGTACGAATGAAATAATCGCTTCATAAAGGACACTCCGGCTTGTCATCTTGGCTCACACCAGTCTCGCCAGTTCAATATCATCTGCAAGGTATAGCAACATTGAACATGTCTTTGCAATGATAACTTGAAAAAGGAGTCATTCATTATAACTACCAGTTTTCCTACTTTGAACTTTAAAGGTGCATTAACTTTATCGGTTTTAGGCAATGCTCCTTATTTTCACTTGAATGGTAAGCTATGTGCTTAGACAGATCCCCGTCAAGATGCGGCAGATATTAGATTAGTTTTTGTGAACCTTGTTGCAATTAGTGCGGACATAATTGTTTCATCGTTGCTATATTCAAGGCGATCAGTCTAATAAAACCAATCTCAATCAAGGAGAAGCGCAAAAAGCAGTATTTTTTCCTCCGGCTTATATACTTGGGTAGATATCTTCTCCAGCGTTTAGAGGCATACGCTGGTAGGTTGCATGCGCAAAAGCGCCCCTTGCACTTACCAACAGAATCCGCACATTCGTTTGCAGCCAATTTTGTAGTACAGCTTTTTGCAGTGAGCACGCACACGCCGAGTTATGCTACAGGCTTGGAAGGGAAACCTGTCACCACATGAACGGCTCTCTCGAACTGCTATGGAAACATAAGTAAAGAACGCAATAATGAACAAAGAGAAACTAAGAATAAGCAGTCTAATGAATAGCATTCGTTGTTACCGTGAGGATTAAGAGTTCAGATTTGAAATAGAAATATTTCATTGAATTTCTTTTTCGGCTTACCGAACCGCTCAGATGTAAGGAAAGGCCACAGACTGCCATATGCTGCCTAGAATGATTAGGGGGATTAAAATGTCTAGCGACAACCAGAAATCTGAGATCCTCCTCCAAAAACCTACTTAAAGTGCCATCTGTTAAGCTAGTAAGTTATGGTCATAGGTGTTTCTCTTTTGTAGCACCGACTCTATGGAACTCTCTTCCGAAAAACATAAGAGAGAGTGGCTTGCTATCAGAGTTTAAGACCTGTATAAAGACATACCTTTTTAATAAATTTTACAACTAGACTATTGCTTAGTGAGTTAACTAGTTATTTAAGTAGTTTGCTAGGTCGCTAGATAGTTGTGGCCAAAGTCTTTGAACGGATAATCTACGATCAGCTTTATCATTATTTAACTAAAAACAACTTTCTCTCGTGCCATCAAACTGGTTTTCAGTCTTTGCATTCCACGCTCACAGCACTTATCGAAACTACAGATAGCTGGGCAGTGGATATAGACCGTGGTCTTGTTAATACCGTAGTCTTTTTAGACCTCAAAAAGGCATTTGATACAGTAGATCACGATATTTTATTACGAAAACTGCAATACTATGGAATTTTTTGGACCAGTCATCAATGGTTTGCTTCTTATTTAGATAACCGAACACAGATTTGTCATTTAAACTCTTGTAAGTCAACTCCGAAATGTCTGAGATGTGGTGTTCCCCAGGGAACAAGTTTGGGACCTCTTTTATTTTTGATATATATTAATGACTTACCACATTGTTTGACATATTCGGAACCTAGATTGTATGCAGATGATACCAGCCTGACGCTTGCCAGTACTGACATTGAGCATATAAATTATTGCCTTAATCACGACCTTAGCAATGTGTACGAATGGCTCTCTGCTAACAAACTTACCTTGAATATGACAAAAACTGAGTTCATGCTTATTGCATCAAGGCAGAAGTTATCACAATTTACGGAAAGTCCCTCTCTTATTATAAAAGAAAACGCAATCGAACAAGTAACCTCCGCTAAATCCCTTGGAGTTTATGTCGATC